AATAATACAATCAAATAAGTCATTTGTGAGCAGAAAATAAAGTCATCAAAGCTGTGATTGCATTTTCTACATGAATCCATGGATTTTGTCCTTGTTTTAATGACTTGTCCTGATTTAATTAGAAGATGATTAGTTGAATAATAGAGAAGAAGAACAACAAACAAATTTATGAATTATTTCAACAACACCAAGTTTATACAATTGGTCAATGTTTGAATTCATACATAAAGTAAAAATTTCTTTTAATATTAATGATGGTGAAAGACCACTCTCAATAAACTCACATAATTTAGGACGAATTAATTTTGGAATAACTTCAATGTTTGGTGTAACAACGATTGTTTTGACAATAAGTTCACAAGACACTTTCCAAGTAGGTTTAAATAAGTGCTTAGTTTGAATATATACAAAGAGAGTAATTAATGTTGTTCTTAAATTACCATTATTGGAATTTAATATCATTTCTTTATCTTTTTGGGTTATATGAGTATGTTCTTGTTGACAAATGTTTGTTATTAATCTATCTACTTCATCATAGGTTGGAAGCTCTATTCTAATATCTAAACATCTTGAACGTAATGGTTTCATCATTGAAGAAATATTCTCTGTGATAAAGATATATCTCCAATTACCTGTTTCCATTGCTCTTCTTACAGCAAATTGAGCTTCTTTAGTGAGTTTGTCAGCTTCGTGAATTATAAGTGTTTTTTGTTGAGAACCAACTTTCATTTTATCAATGATAAATTGTAATGTAATTCTATCTCTTAACCCATATTGTGATGGATTAAATTCAACGTGAAATGGAGATACTTTCAAAACTATTTCATGTTCTTCATCAATTTCATACTTTTCTTGTCCTAATTCTAATACAACACTACCATAAATCTCTTTTAAAAATAACATACAACAAGTGTATCTTCCACTTCCATTTGTTCCATGGATTACTAAATGTGGTGGATTTCCATTTTGACTTATATTATATAATAATTCTGTTGTTTCAGTCCAATGACATAATTTTGCAAAAGAACGAGGTTGATATTTTAATAATAATTTCATAATGTCTTGCATTTGCCACAAACAAACTCAATTGGTATTAACTAGTTCTCTTTAGTTTAAAACTTGATTTAACAAACAATAATTCATCAGACAATAATACCTCAATTAATTTAAGTTTATCATTATCATAAAATTCATTTACATTAATTTTATCTTATTCATTATTAACTTATTCTTGTTTTATTTCTTTTGGTTTAAATTCATTCCATTTAGCTTGAATTTTATGAATTCGTTCTTGTTCTCCATTCTCTGTTTCAAATTCAATATAATCTTTAAAAATATCATCTTTATGACACCACCCAATAGCAGCACCATAAATTTTTCTAACTAATGGGATGTTTTTTCTTCTTCTAGCATAATTTGCATATGCTCTCCATACCTTTTTGAATGTAAAATATTTATGTGGAATAATTTTTATTGTTCTTGAAAATATATCAAATGCATTCTCGAAGTGTTGTAACTTTTCTTCATATCGTGCATATAATACCCAAAATTCAATATATCGTGTCCATTTTTCTTTAGTTATTTCTTGTGGAGGTTGACTTATAATTCTTTCATAAAGCATTGTTGTTGTTTCTTCTGATTCAATTTCATTCATTTCCATTTGAATATAGTCATACCAAGTATCATAATCAAATGGATTTTCTTGAATTTTTTGTTCATATTCAAATCTTCTTTTTTTCCAAATTGCATTATCAACATCTTTCATTTCTCCATTTATCTTTTCAAATTTTACATAATTATTAAGTAATATTCTTTTATTTTCTTCTTTGCTATGATCAATTCCAAATAAATAAATTTGTCTTGCTCGTTCTATTTCTCCTTGACTTAATTCAAATTCTGCAAACATTTGATAATATGAATTTTGACAAACTTCTATGTCTTTAGCCATTTTATTAAATAACTCTCTTGTACTTTCTACTGTTCCAAATCTTTTTTCAAATTCAACCCATTCTTTATATATTTCTTCACAATGAAGTTGTTGATTTGCTTGTTCAAATAATTCTTTTGCTACTTTAATTTCTCCTATTCTTATTTCAAATTTAATATAAGCAAGCCATGGATATTCTCCTGGTTTAAATGTCATCCATTTTTCAAACACTTCTTTACAATGATCAAAATTCTCAACTGTTTCTTCAAGTCTAACATATTTAAACCAAAGTTTATAAACCATTGGCAATAAACTCGTTGCTCTTTCTAATACATTTCTTGCTTTATTTACTTGGTTATTTCTTAATTCAAAATCAACATATTTCATCCATGTATCTGCAATAGTGTAATCTTGTTCTAATGCTCTTTCAAATATTGAACGTGCTCTTACATATTCTCCTTGTTCTTCTTCCCAAAATGCATATCTTGTCCATCTTTTTGGATTTTGTCGTTCCTTAGTAACACCTTGTTCAAATTCTTTTCTTTTAGTTAGTCTATACGCTTGTAATTCTTCTTCATCATGAATTGTCATTTTAGGTCGTGTATAAGAAGGCGTTTGATTATCTCTTGCTTCTCTGATCAGTTGTTCTGCTGTAATTTGAATTTCAGCAAATTCTCTATTTTTTATAACAGGTTTATTGCTCATCTAATTAGTTAGAAGAAAATATAGAAAATGAGATGTTTGTTTATTTCTTTTAATTGAACTTCATTTTCAAATTCTTCAGAAAAATTAATCACTTAGCCTTAATAGCAAATGTTACATATCCAACATGTCCTTTAATTGTTTTTGTTGGACAACACAATATTTCACTCGACATACAATCATCACTTCTTTTTCCAACTCCTTTAATTGAATATGGTCTAATAACATTTTCTTTTGTTAATAAATTGGTGAACCGACCATCTTTTCTAAGTTCTTGGCATGACTTTTGTATTTGTTCAATACATGGACAGAAACAACATATTTTACCTCCAACTCTGAGTACATTGTATGCATGTGTAATTGCTTCATATACATTTGGCAAATCTAAAAACACACAATCTGCTTCTTGTTCATGCAATAACCCTTCAACAAGAAATCCATTTTGTACAACATCACGTAATACAACTGTAATAACTTTGTCAAGACCAAGCATTTTAAAGTCTTCCTCTGCTTTAATCTTTCGTTGTTCATGAAATTCAAATGTATATAAATGTCCTTTACCTTGTTCATTTCCAAATTGTAAACGTGACCCAAATGCTGCTGATAAACATCCAGACCCTGTTCCTGATTCTACAATAATAGAGTTTGGAGTAATATCAAAATATGATAATACTGGTGATATTGTCTCATGATATAATACTT